AACTAGATGCCTTTATGTTCAGAACAACTAAAACAAACGTGAAATATCAGGGGACTATTGATTGATCATATAACTTCCCATTAAACGCATGTATTTTTAATGGTTTCAGTCTTGTACTAACAGGTTTGCAAGCTTTTAAACGTGCCATTTCCCTCTGATCATGCGGTACATTTTTGTGCTGAAGCTGATTTCTGATGCCTTAATGCAAGGTCTTCAATATGTAAGTTGTGAAAGAAAGTGTCTCAACTGTGTGGATTCTTCGTTATAGATGATCTCAGAGTAAAGCTTGATGTCCCAATGGTGCTGAAAGATTTTAAAGTGGCGGCGTCCATTAGCAACTTGATTGCCATAGATACAAAATGCATGTTTGTAGGAATATTGATGCCAATCAAGGAGCTGGGATGAATTATTTGGTGGGAAGCGGCTGCTTGGAGATGCAACAGACGATGCCCCACAAAGTGCTGTTGGAGAAAGGCAATTTCATTTTTATTAGGCCTACGATCAGTTGTGGCAGTTCATTTAAACACAACTTGATTTTTCGATTTTCAGAGCATCAAAGGGAACGTGAACAATGTTGACAATAATTAAACCCAGTGCCTCTGAATCTACAAACCGAAACTAGTCAGTGATTGTTGGTGCAGATAGAGCTGTGCCGGAGCCGGCGGCGTTTTCCACTCATCGAGACGCAGTTTGTGGTTTGGCCGGCAGGCTTTCAATAATTGGAAATAGATGCTGAAATGCAGCCACACAAACAAACTGCTGTCATGTCATCCCCACTGTTGCCAACAATGGTTCCAGTCTTGAACTGGGGGCAATGGAAATGTTCCAAGTAGCATAAGCGGTTTGCTGTAAGTCCTACTGAGCAAAGATACGAACTGGCCGCTGGCAGTGACTACATCTGGGTTTGAAAATACCTTAAAGGTGCAACAGAACATCAAAAGACAACGCTTAAATACCAGAAGGAGAAACAACCGGTGTGATCTGTGAAAATGGACTACAATGCAAAAAATCATCTGCCTGTTTCCAATAGTGGTACATCCTGAACAGGATGTCAACCTGTCACAGGGGAACTCTGTGACAAACACTGTAGAGCAGGGAGGGAGTTGAACTCTTTTTCATTTTGGGGCATTTCAAGATCATGAATGTCTCCAAAGGACTGGTTGTGGCAGAATGCAGTGATAAAACTGCCCACTAGCAAAGTTAAAATATTAAATAGTTGTCTCTTATTATTTTTGATGTAATTTGCCACTATACAGATATAAATTGTTTTTACTCAATAAAAATTTTTAAGCACATATCTGTTATCTTTAAAGTTCTAGTTCTTAGAGTCTAAAGGGCCACATAAAAACTTATGGTGGTCCGGATTTGGCCCCCAGGCCTTGAGTTTAACACATTTGCCTTCTTGCTACAAAGAAACATTGCTACCACGTTGTGCGCCCAGAATTAACAAAATTGACATTATATTTATATGTCATGTGATAGGTTATTCAACAGTTAGTCGCATGTCTTTTCTGTTATTCCTCCGTATGTTGTGGTTTTGAATATGATAATTGCGCTTTAGTCCAGACTTCCAGGTCTTAGTTTTTTTTTTTTTTTTTTTTTTTTTTTTTTTTTTTAAATTTTTTTTTTCAAAAATAAATTTTTTTTTTTTTCCTTTTTTTTTTTGTTTGTAAAAAAAAGGGG